AATCACTTCAAGCATAAGCAAGCTCAAGATCCCCTATTTTTCTATTTAGTGCAAGTGGATCTAGAAAATAGAATGGCAAATTTCTTTTGGAGGGATGGTAGATCCAAGTTGGATTATGATTTATTTGGAGATGTTATTTTCTATACCACATATAGAACTAATAAATATAATCTAATTTGTGCCCCTTTTGTAGGAATTAATCATCATTGGAAGAATGTGGTATTTGGTTGTGCCCTTTTACTAGACGAGATGATGGAATCATTTGTTTGGTTGTTTGAGACGGTCTTAGAAGCTATGGGAGGAAGACAACCTAAGAGTATTTTCATAAATCAAGATCAAGCTATGGCAAATGCTATTAAGAAAGTATTTCCTGAATCACGTCATTGACTGTGTTTATGGCGTCTTTGTAATAATGCCAAGAAACATCTTATTGGAATTTATGAAAACCCCAATTTCAATGCAATGTTTCATAAGTGTCTTAGTGGTTGCCTAGATGAAGTGGAATTTCAATACACTTGGAATGAAATTATCAAAACCTTTAATCTTCAAAACAATGATTGGCTTAACAGATATATGAAATAGTTATTTCACTTCTTTTTCTTTTTCTTTTTTTTTTTTAAATTTCCGGTTTGGAATTGCTTGTTATACTTTTGTTTTATTTTGACAGCATGCTAATGTTAACTTTGAAAGGAATGTGAAATATTATTCTTTTAGTTTGTCATTTAGTTTTGGATTAAGTTACTAAAGTATGGTCCTTAAAGTAATTTATAATTTGTTACTTATTGATGGTCAGAATGTATAGTACATTTGTTTGTAGTACATATCATTGTATTTAATATATTTAGGTACTTATGTATTTCTAAGTATTTCATTGTTTATAAAAACAAATTCCCTTGTCATGTACTAATCTGTATACTCATTTCATTAACATAGTAAATAATATTTTTTACATAAAGTTCTTTGTCCTCTTGTCTCTACATTTTGCTTAAATGTTAAACTTTTAATTTTATATTTCGATTATTTCTTTATAGGTTATATAAGAGTTGAAAAAAATGATATATTGTATCGACTGTAGATATCTTTTTAGCTAGACTAAAATCTACCCAAAGAAGTGAGAGCATGAACAACATTTTTCATCAAATTTTAAGCACATTGTTGACTCCTATTCAAGTCATCAAGGAAAGCAAAATGAGGATTTTCATTGAAAAATAGTTCTTTTATTAATTTGATTAATCATAGAAATATTCGTAAAATCGTGACCCCCCAAATGTGTCCATTTGGAAAGTATTTGATTTCACGAAGTCCCTCGGATTAGCATTTTATCTGGACACTTGTAAAATCCGAGGGACATATTTGTAAAATCGTGACCCCCCAAATGTTCCATTTGGAGGACATTTGATTTCACTTTTTTGAAAATAGGTAATGGGTAAGAGGATCTTCACTGACTGAACAAATATGTGGAACTGGAAATCCGACGGACGCGATTCAACAAATATGTCAATCTGTCAATCGGACGGTCGGGATTTAAAAACCCAAAATACAAATGCAAATGAAATGAAACGAAAATTCAAATTTCAGTGCACCTATCAAATTTCCCATCCCACGTCTCCTCCTCCTCCCCTATCTGCAACTTTCAACATGGCAGACCCCTCAAGGAACAACCTGCCTTCAGGTCCAAAACCTACCAGGCATGCAGCGGCCCCGTCCATCACCTCATCTTGGCGATTTCCTTGTTCCCACTACTCCCGGCTGTTTGACTCCCCTCAAGCGCTCGGTGGGCATCAGAGCGCTCACAGACACGAGCATCAGCGGCGATACCAAGCAGATGTGTTTTTTAACGTGTGGCCGGAACACATCCAGCCGCCCATATATAATCTCATCTCCGCTATTTCCTTGTCCCCACTGCTCCAGGCTCTTTGACTCCCCTCAAGCGCTCGGCAGGCACCAGAATGCTCACAAACACGAGCAAGCAGCTCAGCGAAACTCTCCGGCCAACCACCAGTAGCCATACCATCCACTCGCTCTGTTCCCCGCTGATCAACATCAACAACACACCTCATCGATACCATTTCCCCACTTGCCGGGCATGGACCATACCGCCTGTGCAGCCGGATTTGTTAACGTGTGACCGGAACCCATCCAGCCGCGGCAGCACCTTCTTCCTTCCAGCTTGGTCCCTCATCAGAGTTTTCTGGGCGTTTCGACTACTCCTGACGCTCTCTCCCCTACCACGGATGTGGATGATTCTTCTGCTGATATTGACCTCAACCTCCGCTCGTGAAGCAACGCGTTTCTCTTTCTCTTAACTTCTTTCTTTTCGGTTTTTGAAAGGAAATGGAACAAGTTAACGGGATTTGATGAGAAGGAAAGTGGTTAAGGTTAATGGGATTCTTGAATCTCTTGTTTGGTGTTCGTTTCCATAT